ATGTGGTTATGGGATTTTGTGTTTTCGTTGCAAAGTCTTTCAAAAAAAAAATTCGATGAGTATCGGAGCACGGTAAAACAATATATAGATGAACGCGATTTAAATTAATTTTAACACGTGCCACCAATATCAAGATTCAAGGAAACCGAGGAAAAGATTATTGGCACTTGGATATTGGCCTCGCTCGCCTCGAGGTTGAGCTTTTCTAAGTCGGCGCTGTTAAATCGATCTTCTGTTTTTTTTTTTGAAATTGTGGAAAATGAGATACAACATCTTTTCTAATCTTTTGAGATTGAAAATTGTAAATAACTTACCTAGCAAGAACGATGATGTCGGTGTTCGGAAATCTCTCCTGGGTCCTTTTTTTTTGACGCATGACACGTGATAAATGGATGATAAATAATAGGTCACTCGCTAATTCGAAGTTTCTGATAAAGACATACCTTGCGTGACTTTCGATTCCTCCTTGTTGCTACTCTCATAGTTGTTTTTGCTAAGACCGCTATTATGTTTCTTGTTAATACTGTTGGTGTTAGTACCGGTGCTATTATGTTTCGTACTAACGCTGTTATGCTTTTCAACGACGGTGTTGCCGCTAAGGCTACTGCGACTCACATTCAGGCTCAAGTCAATATCACCAACGGAATTATCGCTGAACGTGCTAAACACGGAATCGAGCAGATCTTTTGGGACCAGTGATTCGTCTGCAAGCGTTTTATCTGATGCAGTGGTGGAGATGGTGTTAAAGGGAGACTCGGAAATGGAAGACAATGTGGAAAATTTTAGTTTATCATCGTCCTTCGGTGTTGTGGACGAATTCAGGTGGTCGGAAGCGACTGAATATTGGGTTTCGGTCATTATGATTGTTTGGTTTCAATGAGAAGAGACTATTTCAACTTGAAAAAAGGGGAGAAATGATAAAGGAAATATGGGAAGTATACAATGATTTTCTCGAAGAGGGATCCGTTGTTTCCTCTCAGAGTTAACCTTTATTCCGAATCCGGGGTGTCGCAAAAATCAAGCGTAGACTAACGAACGTCCCTTTCGCGGATATTCCAATAATCTTTTATCTCTTTCGACGGTGTAGGTGGTTGAACATAAAATGTAGTTTGTATTTTTGAAAACGAAAGTTTTGAAAAATACCGCTCAATTCTCATATATTTTATGTGTTTCCTGTAAAAATTTTTTTTTCTTTTTCTCCAAAAAAAGAACGAAAGAAGGTGCGTTTTTTATGAAAATGCAGGAACGTTTATAAATTATCTTTCTTTCTTTCTTGACGGGCAAGACGCGATTAGATATTTAACGGAAATGACTAAAGAAGACCTTTCAATACCGAAAAGAAAGGAAAATCTTCAAGCGTAGAAAAGAAAGAATGATAATAATAACAAAAGTATAAAGGAGAGGTTAACTTTTCTTGACGCCTGGATCCTAGTGGTAAGATGTTGTGACTTTTTTTTCGGGTTACTCAAAAAAAAGTCTGCGTACGTAATGGGTTTTTGTTTCAAAACAAAAAGAAGTCAGAAGTTCTATACAGAGAGCATGGTGTGTGGGGGGGGGGGGGGGCCTTGAATGAGCAACTCAGGAATCGCAAATCTGGTGGATCCTTATTACTATGTTTTATTCAAAAAAAAAAAATCTTATTCAAAAGCTTTGGAATCTAACACTCATCCTTTAAGGACAAGTCTCAGGCAAGCTCAAGCGTTGAAATATTGGAAATCCAAAAATGCTGGCCACATGAGAGGGTAAGACCGAGGTGAAGCTTAATATTATAGAATCCACATATTTTTTTTTTCCAATTTAGACTGCATTTTTTTGTTCAACAGATAACGGTTACTGCATTATGAATAAATAACCTCGAATTAATTAAATGTCGTGTTCTGATTTTCATTATAAAATAATTGATTGGTTCATTGAACAGATTTATTCATGCATTCAATTTAAATTCTTGAACCAACCGTTATTCCACGTCGCGTTCCACGTGATTGTTTGTTTCACCATTCGATGACACATGACTAGTGAGATTAATATTGTTTCGGAATTAATACAAACGACAAATTGGATGAAATACGTGCATGTGTGCAATGTGCTCAATCGATAACTTTATGTGGCAATGAAAAGAGGATTAGTTAGGCATTTGTAAATTCAAAATTTCTAAAATTTCTCCTTGATACGTCACTTTCAACATCTTGATATACTGTATAATGAATACCCATTATTTGTTAATATGGTACGTATACTGTGCAATTTTCTACTTACATATGATTTTGATAAAAAAAATCAAAAAAAAAAAACCATCTGATACCACACCGAAAATCTCGTCATAGGATAACGTTGTCTGTTATCATTTTACCTCATGAAATGAAGGTTATCAGATCCCTACAAATGTAGATTATATGATAAGTTGCAGTATATGATTAACAAATAAATAAATTAGTTACAAAGTATTACTGTATGATATTAAAATAGAATGTTTGCAAAATCAAATTTCTCATTTTTTTTGTAAATAAACAAGTATACTGTATATATAAATATAAAATTTGTATTTTAAGAAATTTCAATAATAACCAGAGAACTTTATATAAATTTATTTTTGTTATCATTATTTATAAATTTAAAAACAGAAATATTAATCCAAGCCAAATTTTTATTTTAAATAAAGAAATATATAATATATATATATATATATACTGTATATATATATGTATGTATATATTTGTTAATTCTATTTAATTATATTGTATGTATACTGTATTTTTGTAATGTCAAAAGTTTAAAAATTCATATAGTCATTAAAAAAAATAAAATAAATAAAGATTGATTAATCATAGTACATTTTTTTAATTAAAATTTAGGTTACTAAAAATATTTGTTTATTAAGTAAATCTGTATGTAAAGTTAAATATGTAAAGTTAAATATGTAAAATTAAAATTGATTTTATCTATCAAGTTAATTTTAACCTTGCGTGTAACAATCATTGTTTCTCTTCAGATTCGAGTTCAAGTTCACAGATGCTTTCAAACTCTTTGATCTTGTCATCATTGATGTATGGTTGGTTTAACCAGGTTGACAGCAACACTATTGCTTGTTCGCGGTTTGCGTCTTGTAGCGAAGAAAAAATTTTATTTTTCAAATCGATTTCTTGAGTGAACATGTTGAAAATATTTACAAAATGGTGGACTATGGTGATTCGAATGATTTTAGCAAATTGTACTTGTAAATATTCAATCATAATATTGAGGACTTACCAAAAGTTTCCAGTGTGCACGTCAAATACACGGGCGTATTGTACACAAATTCATCGCCCAGACTTTCGCTGGCTTCTTCAAGTAAAAATTCTATTTGCAAAATTTGCATCTTCATTTTGGCATATTGTGAAGCCTAACATAAATCGCAATGTCATCATATGATCGCAAGTAGCGTTCGAAAAAGACTGACAATTGATACCATTTTCTCTAAAACTTGCTGCAAAGATTGCGACAGGCTGAAGGTGTTTTCGTTTGAATTCTCTTCTCCATGTTCTTCCATCGAATCAAGAGAATCGTCTAATTCCGAAATCAAGCATGTCGGAAATTCTACTTTTCTAAGCAAACGTTGAAGGTTAAATAGAATACGGTAAAATGCGTTCAAAGTGGAGGAATGAATGATTGATTCGAAAGTTCATAATCACCGCTCTTGTAATCTTAATTTAACAAGAGAATTGGCGAGGGTAAATCCATTGTCATTAAGTTCGAACCATATGTGCCTTGCTCTCTCGAATTCGGTGATAAGTGTCTTAAGTCTACGCTTTAACGTGGACACATGTAACATCCTATGATGAGATGATGGGAATCGAGAAAAATCTTATGAGCATACGTAACGTACGCACGCACGTACGCACGCAACTACGTATGCACGTAATATCTTGTCCCACCTGAATGTACTGTATATAAACGATCATGAGCACTCGATCTTGCTTTATAGATTTACGTATAGGTCGATACAGTACACGACAATGGCATCTTACTTTGGTAAATATGAATGAACTGGAGTTTGCCAACCACCTTTATGTCGTTGGCCAAATATTATTCCAGACATCTTTTCGATGTCTGCCAAATATTTGTTTGCCAAAACTTTCTTTCCTACGCCAAACGCGTTGACTTTTTATTCTTTGCACCCAATCACGAAATGTTAGACGAGAAAGGTATACCTGACCCAACCTTCAAAAAAAAGCCGCAATCTTCGTCGGCAAATAACCCCGACGTCTCGCATTTTTTTAGAGATTCCGATGAAGCAAGTCGGAACACGGAAGAACATTATGATAATTATGAGCAGTATTTTTCGCTGGCAAAGTAGGTTTTTTTTTTTTTTTTGTTTTTCTCCGCAAATTTACTGTCCTATGTAATGCACCTTTAACTTGTGTCATTTTCAGTCTTTTCGGTTCCCTCAGGGATAGACAAACGAGTAGTGGTGCGGGTACCAACCAAGAATTTTTGGATAACTTGATTTCACAGTTATTAGAAGAGGCTAATGCAAAGTAATGACAAAATTTGTTTCATTGCACGGGTAATGAATAATTCTCATTCATCATCCGTTCTCCTTCAAAGTGCAAAGGGTCCTCCACCGGCTAGTAAAAAATTTATTCAAAATTTACCCATAGTTCCAAAGTCAGAGATCAAATCTGGTAATGTGTATTATGAACAACCGTCATGAGTGAGCATTGTATCCGTGGGAAGATGTGAGTACATTGACGCGTCAATTAATACACGCGTAATAGACGAAACGTGTCCAATATGTGCCGAAAAATTTGTGTCAACCGAGAATTCCGTGGTGGCACGCATGCCGTGTAAACATTTATTTGACAAGGAATGCATTCTACCTTGGTTGCAACTAGTGGGTACCAATATTACAGTTCTTTGCGCTGCTTGTGATTATTAACAAGTAAATTACGAGCACACATTCATTCTCGATTCTTTTTCCCACCTGCATCAAAAATAAAGCATAACACATGCCCAAGTTGTCGCCATGAGGTGGAATCCGATGATCCGGCCTGGAAGAAAAAACAGTTGGAACTGTTAAGGTTGGAGGATTCGGAAGAGGAGGATCCCGATTGGATGTATGGATGAATGAATGAACGAACGAATAATAAAATAAAATAATTATTTATCAAACAATACGCGTCGTCCGCATCTGCATGACAATCGTGTCTTTAATGTTTTGTAATGAGATGGATTTTTTTTTTTTTTTTTTTTTTTTAAGTACATCAAATTTTGATCTATGATAGTTGTTGAACCCTAGGAAATCTGTTAAATAAATAAATAAATGGAAGTAACGCTATTTTCTATAATTAAATTATGATGTTGGTTGATTAAGGGAAAACGACGCGTCTAACATCTTGGGAATAACTATGGAGCAATACAATTAGGAAGAGTGACTCCTGATTTTAGAGATCGGTCGGGATTGAATAATCCCCAACTTCCTTCCAAGACAGTCCATTTCTGCGCTTTCCATGGTGCATCAAAGGTTTCGAAATAATAATATTTAACTTGTTCGTTTGCAGGACAAATGAAAGTGCTCAGGAAAGTTTGCAAATTTTGTGCTGAAGGAACAGCGCCTTGCTGAGAATCGCCGGCAGTTGGCCAGCCCACTTCCGACATAATGGTATCTTTACCCTTTGCTACTACAACATCGTTCTCCTTAAAGAATGTGAATGTCCAGTTTGCCGCTTGATCAACATTTACACCACCAAAGAATGGATGCACGTTTGCCCAAATCATGTCATTCGCTGCCACAAAAGCCGAATCGACGTTTGAACCCAGGTCGGAGGTGAAAACCGGTAAATTTTTCTTGAGACCCAACGAATTTACCTTGCTGCGGACGTCAGCGATACGTTGGTATAATTTTTGCGTCGGTATGTCCTTGCGGAAAATGACTGGAGATAGTAATGCAAGCAGGCAAACGAATTAGGTGAATGCAAGGAATAAAACACGTGCGCGCCACAATGAACATACCTTCATTGCCCACGGACACGCCATCAATGTGGTCCACTCCGTATTTGTTTATCAAATCGAAAAAACTGTCGTGTTGCCTCTGATAAGTGGTATCATTGTCATCCACCCAAATTGTGGGAACGATGGTGATGTCCAATTTCAAGAGAAGGATCGCTTCGAGGGTGTATTCCGCCATGTTACAATCCATTCCATAAAGTCTAAGCCTGCTTGTAAGTTGCGAAATCATTTTGATGTCTTCGATGACATCGCCCAAGGTGTTTCCGCACCAAGGAAAAGAGGCGTTCACGGGTCCATAATTCAACCCGTAAAATGATTTTTTCAGGTTGGAATCCGGATTTATGGTCAAATTGACAGGTTTATTGTCCCAGGTGAGATATTTTGTGTCAGGACTTGCAGGACCTCCGGCGGGATTTTTGGGATTGGGGTTGTTCCCAGGATTAGTATTGTTGCCACCGTTGATTCCCTTCCCGTTGCCCGAGCCATCGGGTGCACCATGAGAATTCTTCAAGACGCTAAAGACGATTCCGGTGACAGCACCTATCAACACGATTATTCCGAGGGTGACAATTATTATGCGATGGTTGCGAGAACCGCGCTGTTGCGATTTGAGCCATTCGCTGGCGTCCGGATCGACCATGCTATATACGATTTCGGGCGGAAAGAGAAAGAAGGCGTATTCTTCGATCGCTAGAAAAAGATGAAGGGGGAAGGGTGGGGTGGGGAACTAGGGTGGTAAGTAGTTGGTGGTGGCGAAAGATGATACGGGCGGATGAAGGAAAAAAAAAAAAAAAAGAGGTTGGAAAGGCGATGGACTGACGCGCGATCATGTTAATACATTATATGGTTGCCAAATAAAGTAGTAGTAGAAATTAATTAAATGCCTATATATTTTACTATACGTACATTTTATGCCAATCATGGTGACGTCGTAATAATGGTATGTGGGTGGTTAAGCTCGATATAGTAGGTATTATGTCACAATTCTACAATGATTGATTTATTAGCAAGTGGATTTGGAAGTCTTCCCCCCGAGTCTCTTTTTAATGTTCCTGCTGCAATCTCATTAGTTTTCATCGTGACATGATATTAATTTACTTGGCGTGAGATCACACCAAATATATTGTTTCCGGATTAAGTTTTACTTCATTAAAGGATTAATCAAAAAAAAATCGACGATATTTTAATATTCGTATTTCGAAATTTATAAATAGAAAGGATTTTCCACGAAAATCTTTTTTTCCTTAAAAAATAAAATAATAATAATAGTTTTACCCAACATTCAATGCATAGATAATTACCACGTGTCATTCAGAAATTTTAAAAAAGAGGCTCGCTAAAAATAATAAGCGCACACGCATTACGCATCTTATGTCTTATATTGCATATTCGGTTAGTCGATCAGAGAATCTATTCGCGATTCAAGATTGATTCACATTCGATCAGCAGGGTTATCAAACTGCAATTCATTATGTTGAAAAACCAATTTTTTTCTTTCCCTTTTGAAGATCATAAGGATCCTCGTGAATTTCTACAATTAAGACAACCAAACACGAACCAGGTAAAATTATTATCAATATTATTCATGATAAGATTAATCTACACAAAGAAAAAAAAAAAAAGAAAGTTTTTAAAAAAAGTATGTATAAATTTTTTTTTTTTTTTTCTATTCGCCGTCGTCAAATTCCTTGTGTGCACAACGACGCGATAACAATAAAATAACTTTATGGTGTGTAAGTGGGAAACCGATTAAGTAGTTCATTATATTCGGTAGAATTAATTTTGATTAGAATCGTGACTCTTTTCGTGACTTTTTTTCTTATCGTCTGTCTCCTTTTTATGGTAGATTAGGAATTATTATTGCTATTTATCGAGTTGATCACCTTTCGCAAGAACTTGGCGACATTGTCCCAACCATCATTTATATCAATCTTTTCGATTTCCCGTTCATAAAAGTGCGCGATCTCTTTGAGAATTTTCCAGCTAGTTTCGTCGGAAACCAGATTGATGGCAACTCCTTCACGCCCAAATCGACCCGTGCGTCCTATGCGATGAAGGTATGTTTCATAGTCGGGCTCGTTCCCCCCTTTCATGTTCCTTTTAATTGGGATGTCGAAATTGATCACGAGATTAACCTGCAAGACATCGATGCCACGCGCAAGTACATTCGTGGCAATTAATACTTTGGCGTTACCCTTACGAAATCCATCCATCACTTCGTCACGTTCGGTCGTCGAAAGACCACCGTGGAGATTGATAACTTTGTGACCGATATCAGTCATGCATTTGGCGATCTTATCCGCGGAAATTCGTTTCTTGAGAAAGAATGGATGATATCAGATTTGAGGTGGTGAGGTAGACATAAATGCATGAATAAATGATAGGGTATTGTTGACAGACCTCAACGAAAATAATGCTTTGCCCGATTGTCATCAGTGAATATAATTCATTCAGCACTGTCAACTTGTGCTCTTCGTCTTTGCAATCCATGTAGAATTGTTTGATGCCTTTTACTGAAAGTTCCTCCACTTTCAGGCTAAATTCATTTGCGTTGGGGGCAAATCTTCCGGCGAAAGCACGCACAGGTTCCTTATAGGTGGCTGAAAAGAGAACGATCTGACAATCGCGAGGCATCAAACTAATAAGGAACAGGTGTCATCGTGTGAATGAAATATTACGAAATCATGGTAGTAACTTATGCCACGAAAATGTTGAAGATACATGCTTTTTTATCTTTATGCTCTGATCACCCAATCCCTGTTGATCCAACATATTGTCGGCTTCGTCCAAAACAAAGATCTTCATGTGTCTCTGATCGAGATAACGTCTCTTGATCAAATCGTAGACTGTACCCGGTGTGCCGACAATGAGTTGAGCTTCTTTAAATGCATCACCCCTATTCTTTTCCATTCTCGAGTTCGCGTTGGAGTCTCGAATGGCTTCGGCAGTTGTTACCGATGTGTATTTCGCCATCTTCTTAACTTCCGCCATAATTTGACGAGCCAATTCTCTTGACGGGGCCAAACAAAGCGCCTTGGGAATACATCAAGAGTGATTGATTAAAGTGCATTTCGAAAATATGAAATGTCGTCATGTAATATTCAAGATTCGTTACCTGTGGTGCCTTCAGATTAAAATCTATTCGACTCAGCATCGTTAAAACAAAAGCTGCAGTTTTACCGGTGCCCGATTGAGATTGCCCAATCATGTTTTGAGGTCTGTTTTGATCAAGTGGTGACATTAGTTTATGTGAAAGGGATAAATTTTTTGTGTTAAGGGACAACATACGGAGATTTGATGAGTAGGGGTAATGCTTTTGCCTGGATTTTCGAAGGTGTGGTGAAACCCATTTCATAGATGCCCTTCAACAAGTTCGGATCCCTGATTTTTTTTTTTTTTTTAATTAAGAAATTCATGTTTAAAAACGCCCTGATTTAATAAGAAATGAAGTACACATATTTTTTCACTTATGATGTTCTTACAAATTCAACTCTTCGAATTTCGTTACCGAAAGCAAGGGTTCATCTTCGTTTATTCTTACAATGTCAACCTCATGAACAGTATCTTGCAGAAAACTATTCTTGGCTTTATTAAAGAGAGAAAAAAAGCTCTCACGGTGTCAGATCAGATAAAAATGATTATCAGACGATATTGAAAAAAAAAAGACTTACGCTCTTGGGTTTCCAGTTCGGCAAGTTGCGAGGTGAGATCTTCAACTTCAGAAGCTTAAAGACAAAATAGAACTCATCAGTGGGAGGAGAATGAGCGTAATGTGGTGAGTGGTCCGTCTACGTCTCCGTTTTTACCAGTCACCGCGATCCAAAAGCAAAAAAAAAAGAAAAAAAGAAAAGAAAATCCTGTGAAAAGGATCTTTGTATTGGATCGCGGTAAAGTGACGACACGAATTCGGACAATTTCCAAAAAAAAAAAAAAAAAAGGAGAACGCTCCCTCACCTTGGTTGGTGGAAGAAGAGCTTGTCGTGATCTCGGAGATATTCATTATGAACGTACGATCTTTAGTCACGAAGAGTGTGAATAATGCGAGCTCAGAGCGCAGTTATTATTTCATCAAATTTTTAACCGCGAATCAAAAATTGTGCGCCAATCAAATAATTTATAAATAGACCTCAGATTCCTAATTAAGCACACGTATTATTGTCAACAATTCATTCATGCCAAATTCCTTACCCTCGCCGCTGAGACCGGAAACATTACATGAAGCGACGTCGATAAACATGGACAGGATCACACAATTACAACAATCGATTGATAGGGTACGTTGTCGATTTTCACCATGCATTCACCGAGCAAGCAGTTATGCTAACCACAATTTTCATTATACACACCCGCGAACAAAGATGGTCTCCATTTTTCTTACTGTAGTCGATAAACTAAATAACACAAACCGTATGTTTTTTCTTGGAAAATCTGAATGACTCGATAATTTATTCTAAATAATTTACTTTTTTTTTACATATTCATTTATTTAGTCCAAACTCAGGATCCTCAAAAGTTTAAGAGTAAGTTGTATGGATCTGAATGAAGGAAATCGTGTAAGATGTGAACACGCGATTCACCTTTTTCCCGATAATAGGCGAACAACAAGAGATCGTTCATGACATCTGCACTAATGCGAAACAAATAGAATTGTTGATCGCTGCTCTACCTGGCATAAACCGCTCCGAATCAGAACAGGTATTTGAACGATGCGTGCATTTCGTAAAGATAGTGAACGATTCACTTATTTCTCTTTTCTTTCTTTTTTTTTTTTTTACTTGACTACAGATCGCAACGTTTAAGGCTTTAGAACAAGAATTACAGGAAGCAAATGAAGAATATCAGAGATCAATTCAAAATGCAGGTGAGATCTTTTTTTTTTCTCGACTAAAAAAAAGCCAACGCAAAAGGACGTCTATTAATTCAATATTTAAAATTGTTTATGAAATATGTAACTTTTTCTACGGTCAAAAAAAAAACAAAAAAAAAAACAAAAACGCGTGAAATAAACAATGATTCGAAATAATTTAAACATCTGCCTTAACCTTTGCGCAAAAGAATCATTATTGAAACAAATCTTGGATACCATAAGTATTATAGCCAAAGATCAAAGCTCATCGACTTTTGAATGAGAGGTGTGACCATAGACAAGCAAGAGTATGTTGAATACAACACGCTCCCCGTCCATTACTGCTCAACTCTCTTCCTCATCCATAATTTCCTCAATATAATCATCCTCGCCATACAGAAGGTTAACTTTAGAACCCAAATCGCCATCTGCTGGTATTAACAATAATAAAATCAAACCAAATAACACAATTGAGAATAATACCCAATTTGGTTTTTCCATTGTATATTTACTATCCAAATTTTCGATCGAGCCCATAAAGGAGATCAGGAAGATTCCCCAGATTTGAGAAAGGGTATTTAGGATTCCCGTTGTAGCGATTTCATCGTCTAAAAATCGTTTCGACGTTATTATTGTTGCATATTGTAAGACCGCCGGGGATATCGCTAATTTGAGATGGTTCATCGTGCGTGAATGACAAATACAATGATGACACCAACAACACATTTCCACTTACCAAAGGAAAACACACCGAATAATATGCTGAGGTATTCAAAGATATAATATCAGTCACACTCCACTGCACCGTAAAGAACGGGATCACAAATACCAACCTTGATATAAACATTAAACTCGAAATTTCACGCTTCAACGAAAAATTGAAAATTCCCAAGGAGATTATTGCCCCAATGTATAATACATGGCATGTTTTTTTATATGCGTAGGTATTGTCCAAATAAACTCCGATCATGAGTGATCCAATCATTCCCGATATTACTATCAAGAAACCGAGAAACCCGACTCCTGCCTACATTTTGAAGCGAAGGGTAATGTGAGGAGGAGGAAAAAAAAAACGCACGCATAGAAGAAAGGGACATGGATCAAAAACCGGTGGGGTATTTGCGTATGACATATACAGGATTTCTTTACGGGTTAATGCGACTGAGCATGCTGCGCGTGCACAAAGGTCGAAAAGTTACCTCGTCATATTCTTTAAACACCGGCAAGATCATTTGTGCCAATAGAGTGCTCAGTGCGTATTGACCACCTGTGATCATTCCATATGAGATTGTTAGTAACATAAATGATTTATCTGTCATGTAATGATTAATGTTTGAAAAAGAAACAGCGGTGGAAGACGGAGTCCTGGAATCTTTGTGTTTAACAGGTTTGATCGTGCGACTGCACGCGTTTATTACAGAGGCAATAAATAAATTAGTTCGGGTCAGGTTAGGATCGTTAAAGAACATACGCGCGACCGAACGCATACCTCTGAATTAGCCTTGGCGCTGACCTAAATGTAAACATCAAGAACAAGTAGACCAATATACAAAAACCGAATTGTAGTAACAGATACTTTGGTACATCGTATTCTGCCGTCTTTTCTTTAATCATCCATGGTGACAATATGAACCTATGAGTAGGCAACGAATTGTCAATTTCATTGCGACACAATCATTACCGTCATTCGTTAGGCGAGCGTGATCTTACCCTGCAGCGACTCCGGCGTTGTTAGCGGTGACTCCAATTGAAGTGGCAAAATTTTGCTCCCCAAATTCTAGAAACCAAACATTCGCCAACTTAGGTGGTATCCCTAACATAAACACTTGTGCGGAGGCGGAAATACTCTGTCCTATAAATAATATCCAAAATCCTGATTTACTTAAGGATCCTAGGAATCTTATAAACGCACCCAATGCATTAAGAAATGCTCCAAAAATTACACCAAATCTTAATCCGTAGATGTCGAAAAACTTTAACGAAGGGAGTAATAAAATGATGTAGGTGAACATATATATGGTTGAAAGGAAATTGATGTAAGAAGGAGATTGTGAATAATATTCCGTGAAGATGTATAAGCAAGGAGCAAAGGTTATCCAGAGACACGCGGAGGAAAATGAAAGTAGCGAGAATCCAAGTAAAATCACCCATCGATAGTGTGCTGGAAGTTTTTTGAAACGCGAGTGGTAGGTTTCAAAAAAAGTAGAGGGCAATGTGAAATGAGGTAAATCTGAACCATCGTCATTTGAACAAGATGCGGCTTCGGTGTTGTTTATCACTGTAATATAATCGTGTTGAGGCGGACTGTCCATTTTTTTTTTTCTAAAGGAGAAAAAATGATAACTCAGTCGACCATTTAAACTCACTTTTTCAGGTTATGCATTTGTTCATATAAGGTAAGGTGCAGATGTCTCGTGAATCACGGAAAAAAAGGAAAATTTGTCAACAGTGAAAACGAATATAAATTCCGTAAACTGCTTAAACCGGAATGGGGGCTTCTTCCTGTCCGTATACTGGTGTTATACAACATAATCGAATTAAATTGTGAATCGTGACTAGTCATCAGAGAGTAAGATCTATCCCTTGAAAAATACAATAAGCAATATATGATGCGTGACTACGTTAACAGGACGTAATCACAAAATAACCGTGTCACATGATATTTGTAATAGTTTCGTAAGTATGATGATAAAGTGACGATTGATAAATTATGCGTATATTCAAAATTATAAAAGCAAGCATTTTCTTACCAGATGAACCTTATCTTTCAAATTTTTTGTGTGAAATGTTCCAAGCTCGTAGAATTTTCGTGACCCACAGAAGATTCGCCGTGATTCACGGCACATCGTTTTTAAATCCATATAGCAGTCAGAGATTACTTCATATTTCACTTAGCCGCAATCAGAAAAATAACCAAGTGCATCTATCCCCGAATGATGTTTTTCACAGCACATCCTCAACCCGTGAAAAGCCATTGTCCGAGGGATATATAGTTGACAAGACCAAAGGGAAGGATACAGTAAAGCCAGGTGTTATGGATGTTCAGTCTGAGGCCGCGGCGAGCGGAATTAGAGATCATCAACGTTCTTTGGAGAGTAAAGGCCAAGGAAAGAATGCAAAGGGTGACGAGGGTCCGGATAAGATGAAAAATCTGAAAGGAGAGGGACAAGAAGTGATGAATGACCTGCAAAAAAAAAGCCAAGAGTTCACCGAGTCTTCTCACGAAAAGGGTCAAGACGTGATGGGTAACTTGAAAGAAAAGGGGCAGAATTTAAAAGAAGACGTAAAAAAGAAAAGTCAAGAGTTCTCCGAGTCTTCACGTGAGAAAAGTCAAGATACAATGGAGAATTTAAAAGAAAAGGGGCAGAATTTAAAAGAAAACGTAAAAAATAAAAGTCAAGATTTCGCCGAGTCTTCACGTGAGAAAAGTCAAGATGCAATGGAGAATTTAAAAGAAAAGGGGCAGAATTTAAAAGAAACCGTAAAAAATAAAAGTCAAGATTTCGTCGAGTCTTCACGTGAGAAAAGTCAAGATGCAATGGAAAATTTGAAAGAAAAGGGCAAAGATACAATGGAGAACATACGAGAGAAGGGTCAGAAAATTGCAGAGTCTTCACGAAGTGTAACGGAAAATTTGAAAGAGAAAGGTCAAAATACAATGGAAAACATAAAAGAAAAAGGACAAGATACCGCGGAAAAAGTACGGGAGAAGGGACAGGAATTCGCCGAGTCTTCACGTGAAAAGGGTCAAGGGTTGAAGGAAAGCTTAAAAGAAACCGGACAAGATACAGCGGAAAATTTACGAGACATAGGTCAGAGCTCGCGTGAAGAGAGCAAAGGCATGATAGAAAATTTGAAAGGAAAAAGTCAAGAAATAATGGAAAATGTGCGTGATATGGGCCACGATACGATTGAGAAGGTTAAAGAAAAAAGTCAGGATATGTTGGGAAAAATGCGTGAAAAAGGTCACCAGACGTTAGAAAATGTGAAAGGAAAAAGCAAAGAAATGATGGAGGATTTGCAGGGGAAAAATATTGACAAAGAACAAACTGAAAATATTAAAGAACACGACAGCGAAAAATATCGAAAAAACGTTAAGGAGGATTCAAACGCTAAAATTGTAAGTTGAAATTATTAAACATGACCTCTAATTGACTAGTTTAATTAAATTTGAAATCAATAGGGTTTTAACGAACAAATTGGTGGTTGGGTATGCGTTTTATTTTTTGGTTTTTTTTTTAATGTGGAATTTTGTGATCAAATTTTTTACGAAACACTTTCTATTACCAACAGGACGCAACTCACAATCGTCGAGACACCAAAATTTCCAGTGAGGACAACAACTTGGAAAAACTGCGTGCATCAATTACAGAAACCAAAAGAGAACAATCCGAAAGAAATGCTTGAATCGGCTACTATGATGATATAGATGCTTATAGAATTGTAAAATTTATATACTTTTCTGTTAACATAAAATATTACAGCGTATTTAATACATGAACGACGATTATGTTTTATCATCATGTACTTTTCTTTTTTTGGGTAAATAAATATTGTTTTTAAATATGCATTATTATAATTCTTTATTAAATTATTAAATTATTTAAATTTGTTTATGAAATTATTTTTTTGTATTGTTTTAAATCCAAATTTAAAAAATATAAATATTACAAAAAAAATAAGAAATCAAGAAATATTTTTTTAGTTATGTAAAAAATATTTTTAAAAGCATTTTATATAATGTGCATTTTTTATTTACAGGATATATTTAATTTAACAAAATTATTATTTTTAAAAAATTAAAAAATCATATAAATCAAAAAATATTCAATACACTAAAATATTTATTAATTACACAATACACTTAAAAACATTTATTATTATTATTTTATATATATATGTAAATTTAATTACCAATTAAAAAATAAATATAATTACTTTCTTTTTGGCAACATGTTTATTTTCATATGATATGAAGGTTCGGGCACCTGCCTAAAAATTGACGAGTGATTTGCTTTTTTTTTCTTAAAGAATATGATTAACAGTTGCCTCGATACGAAATTACTAATATTTTTATCAATGCAAAATATTAAAGATCTGGACAATTGTATTTTTGCACGAATGATTCGCAATGATAAGATCTTTATCTCACTAACTTTATATTATTGATACAAAAATGGGATACATTAAATTAATGGTTTTTTAATACAAATGAGTATGTAATTTTCAATAAAATTTACAGAGAAAATATTAAAAAATATTTGTGTGGAAATGCAAAACCAATGTCTCCGGTGCTTTAGTATAATCTTCATTATCGAGACTACGAGATCTCGATTCCGTCATCATGATCCTCGAAAATTTCAGGAATCTTCGAATAATTCTATATCATTATCATCGGGAATTGTGAACTCGTCAAAACCGTCTGTTGGGATTTCCGTTTCTGATGACTTCATCATGTCTTGTGATTTGACTTTAGAAAAGGAATAAAATTAATAAAACTTTGGTTTTCTAAAAAAAACTAGCAAATAGGCACATCCTTACGTTTGTGCTTTAAGTCTTTAAGTATATACAATATTTTTTATAAAATTATATAAAATTATTTTACCATTTATTTTACTATATATAATATTTTACTATTTATTATATTAATATTATTGTATTAAAGCTTCTTTAAATACAACATTTCGCGTATAAACACCATCCCTGTCTTGAATTGTACCATTTCTAATAAGAACACGAAGATTTTGTATTTTATGTACTCTTGACATAGCCACATACAATTGTCCATGAGAAAAAACTGGTTGTGGAAGATATAAACCAACATAAGGTAAAGTTTGGCCTTGAGATTTATTAATAGTTAAAGCAAATGCTAGACGTATAGGAAATTGATTTCTTTTTAATGTAAAAGGTAATGCAGTATCTTCAGATGATAAAAGTGGAATTCTAGGAATGAATACACGCTTTCCTTGATAATTTCCTGTTACTATTTCAGCATCAATTATTTGTGTTTGTAATTGTCGACAAATAAGTCTTGTTCCATTACAAAGTCCATTAAGTGGATCTATATTTCTAAGTAATAAAATAGGTGCACCAACTTTTAATGAAAGTATATGTGGAGGAAGGCCCGGAGGTGTTAAAGAGTTAAGATATTCAACTGGAAATAAATTCAAGTTGTCTTCTGTTGTTGAATCAAAACTATAGTATGTATATTGATTTCCAGGACATATAGTTATAATTCTCTCATTAATTTCATCAACATCGCTATTTAATGAAGTCAATATTGCTCTTTCTGTTATAAAGGCAGTGTTCAAAATATTTTTTGTAAGATTAGGATACACTGCATTTATTAATAAATTAATATGATCTTCATTATTTTGTGAGCGAATAATTATTTCATCAGGAAGCCGAATTAAATCATTTTCTATTGTAGGTTCTGTACCATTGCCAATTCTTAATAAGTAATCTGCAAATGTCTTTGTTTTATTATTTATAGCTTTTGAAATTCGTATATTTGTAGTTAAGGAAAAAATACGAATATGTGGCCATAAATAGGACTTATTAAAAGAAGCATTAACTATTTGAGCTCTGGTACCTTTAGAAATTATAGGTAAAACTTGTCGAAAGTCTCCTCCAAATAAAAAGATTTTATTGCCAAATGGGAAATTATTCTCCATAATATCTCTTAAAGTTTTATCAACAGCCTCAAAAACATGACGGTGCAACATTGGAGCTTCATCCCAAATGATCAAAACAGCTTTTTGAAGTAATATAGCCAAATCAGTTCCCTTTTTAATATTGCAAGTCGCATTTTCATCTATAATAATTGGTATTTTAAAGCGAGAGTGTGCAGTACGTCCGCCATGTAATAACAATGCAGCAATACCAGAGGAGGCTACTGCTAATGCAATTTGATGATTAGATCGTATATGGGAAAGAAGACAATCATAAACATAAGTTTTTCCACTTCCGGCAGGACCATCTATAAATAATACACCTCCTTTATCTTGATTTATAAGATTAAGTACTTCATTAAATACTATCCGTTGAGCTTCATTTAATGTATTTGCCTTGGCAAGATCCTCAGGAGCAATATAATAAGATAGTTCTTCTAAAAGTATTTTTGATAAATTTTCAATTTCCGTTTCTAAAATTAATTCTGGTAAATCATAATCAATTACTGTCCTTGCATGTCTTTGTAAAAATATATTTAAACTTTGAAGAACTGCTTGAATTTGATATTGTCCCTCGGAAATTCCTTTGTGCATAAAGTCTTCGGCCATTGCATTAAAATTTTCATTCCATAGCTGTTGTACATCTGTAATATTTCCAAAGACTAATAGTGTTGCAAATAGATCACGTAATTGGCTAGGCATTTGAAATTCTTTAGCTTCAATCATACATTGCCGATACTCATTATCATTTTCTAAAAAACCTCTTTGTTGAGCACTTTTTTTAAAAGTAGTATACATAATTCCATTAACACTTTTAAGTTCTTCAAAGCTTCTAGCTCCTTTTACTTTTGTTAATAACAAACGAAGATAGTATCGTTCACCTAAATAATATAATTAAATTTTTAGTATTTTATTCTTATACTATATTTATTTATTTATTATTTTATTATTTCATTTTATAAAAATATATTTACCTTCGCTTGGATGAACCATAAATATTCTTCCAATACATCCTCCACGTTTACGTTTATTCCATTTTTTAGTATTTTTATTCCATGTATAGTGCAAAGGAAAATCGGCATAAAGCAAGTTTCTTGCATCCGGATCTTGTGTATTCGTTTTAAAATATTCAGTAAGAGATGTTCGCTGATTTCGATCATTCATAATTATATCTGTTAAGTCATTGCTTTCATTGAAAATAATTCTTTGTTGGTTTGGAAGATGCACTTGTAAGCGTACAACAGCAGGATTTATTCCATTCATACTAAATCCAAATATTCTCCAAATAGCTTCTGGCGCTGAAATCCAACGGGCACTAATAAAATTTTGAATCTCATCAATTTTTGTTGGTGTTTCATATTGTTGAGATTTTTTAGTAACTTCAATCATTGTCCTATCATGGCCTTTATAAACATATTTAAATAAATATTTGATTGCTTTAATACTGGCACAAATTTCCACGTTAATGTGGCAATCATATTTTATGCAAAGGAACTTATTATATGGTACTATCCATCGATTGTCTAATAGAATTGTTTGATTTCCTACTTTTTTCTCAACATAACGATTATCTTGTCGACGACGATATATAGGATAAGTATTCTCTCCCTGAAGAGTTTCATTTTGAAATTCTTTAGGATATCCTTTGGAGCATCGTTTTTGTCCTGTATTATCGTCAATCATACATGGTGCATTAGGATTAAGCTTTCCACATGGTCCATGTAACATATTAGTAATAACTGTATTATATAATCTGGGATTGATAGTTGAATCGGGTATTTCTGCACAAATAATAGTGTTGTATTCATCAGGAGATCGCAGTTTATCTTCTGGATGAAGTATAACTAAAATATGTGCATGCGGAAGACCACGCTTCTGAAATTCAATGACATAGATATGTGCAATAACGC